AATTTTTTAATTCCGAGGTCCAAAGCCCGTAGGTTTTCCACTCCCGGGTTTCTCACAAAAGCCGTGTTATTACTTTTTTTCGCATAAGTACGAGCCTTTGCCTTTTTTCTTTTCAAGGCCAAAACAACTTCATTAGTCTTATGGATATTCACGTCCAACATCTCGCCTCACTTTGCCGAATTTGCGGGGATGAAATTGAAGATCACAAGCGCAAGGTAGATACTAACCGCTTTGTTTCTGAAATTCACTAATCTGGAAAGATTTAATGTTGTTGGATTCTCCAAATGTTCACCCGCCGTTAAAAAATAATCTTAGAAACAAGGCAAATCTCAATTATAAATGCTGTATTTCGCTACTCATTGAACATGCACTGATTATCTGGGATAAAATTAAAACGTTGCAGGTACTACAGCAAGCAAAGAAAGCAACAGATGCGTGAAGTCAACACGAAACAACACAAAAAAACAAACAAGAAAAATTAATAAATTTCAACTACTTTCTATTCTGGTTATGATGACTGGTTCTTTGATTCTTGTCCTGTAGAAGTTAATAGGTAGTACCAATGCTGTTTTGTACGATCTCAACAAATTTTCACACTCTCTCTAAGGCTATTTTTACACGGGACGAGTTTGCTTCTATCAAAAATCTTGCAAGCCATGCCAGTGAAGCCACGACCTCTGCGATCGGTCCGGAATCAGTTCGAACACCCCAATGATTCGTTGCAATGATTAATGCTCTATATTCTCTTACATGACATGTTTTCTTTGAAATATTAAATGTGAAACCTAGACGAGTACTGAAAGCTCATCTGTAATTCTGTCCGACTCCGTCCGTTGTTTTGAAAATTTTTGATCACTGGGGCGATGTTTTGATTTGTTTGTTGATAAACACAAGCGCGCCTTCTCATTGGTTAAAAAGTGGCGCGTGACCAGTTGGCCCTGTCCTTAAATTTAGGGATATTCCGGACTGTTCATTGAATAACAACGCGTGTTTACCTTATAGCACTATTTGACTAGTATTGTGACTAACGTGCTCATTGTAAACAAACAAGTCTCGTCGCGTTAGCTAGTTCAATATTCATTCAAGGCGTTGTTGTTCCTGTTGTTCGTCTTTCGAAAAAAGTCGAAGATGACCATGACTTCAGACTGAGGACTACCGACGATGAGTCCGAAGATGCTTGTGAGGCCAATCCGAGCCCGTAAGGCTCGCCCACACATGGGACATGAGTGTGTGGGTGCTGCAGTGAAAGTGGAGGGTACTCTGGCTTTGCGCGCGGCCATTTCCTCGCTGTACCACTGAGGTCCGTCAGTTTTCTGCCGCGAGAGCCCCTGTGGTGACTTTGCTAAGCCAAGTTGGACGGTCCTGAACAAACGACTCCCAAGAACTGGGGTTTATGTCCCGGTCTTTGAGGGACTCTTTGACGCAGTCTTTGAAATGTTTTGTCTGCGTCCCAGTCGAGCTCTTGTCCTGATATTATTCTCCATACAGTCACGGGCTCTTGACAGTAGCTGCTTTGGCAGTCGGCTGACACGCATTCTGGCGAAATGACCAGTGCTTTCTGCTGTAGGAGGGTGTGGTTATTCAAGACCAAAACGCAAAGTTTCGACTTTTCTCAAATTATAAAGAAATACAAATGTGATTATAACGAAAGAATTTGCCTTCAAAGTTATAAGATGAGTGGTTACACACTTTGGGTTGCTTATTCATAATTTGATTAGGTTCTTTGCTAACCGTTTACTTTATTCAAAGACTATTCAAGGCCAACGTTTCAAAACTGTCCGACAAATATCTACAAAACTGCCGACCGGGGTACCACGTCGGCAACAGCAACATGGACACCTCCCACGGCTACAGACAACTCCGGCGTCATACCAAACATGACGCTTACAGGAAAGGGACCGTGGGAAAGATTCTCTGCTGGCATGCACAATATCCGGTATATAGCCATTGACGGTGCAGGGAACATTGGGGAATGCACATTCAAAGTCTTTGTTACAGGTAGCTGTTTAATATCATTTAACCTCAAATTTAAGTTACTTCATATAAAAAACGAGATGACCGCCATCCACCTTTCTTAATGACGTCACAGGTACCCATCAAAGTTTTCCCACGTAATATTATCACCTACTTTTGAAAATAAAGCACATGTAAAATAGTCTTATTCCATACAGCGTAGTCGTTACCCCCTTGTACCATGGAGAACGCCGTATGGATTTGCTAGAACGTTAAAGGGATAACATTTCCCTAAAACAGACCTAGATCTTTACGTAAACAACAGAATCAGCACAGGTTAAAATACGTAAGTGTGCAATTGAAAAAATGATCAAGAATATTGACCGTAAATTAATCCCGCGATTCAACGAGCCTACCTGAAAAACCGTCAGGGTCATTTGATACGGTCGGTGGATGCCTCATTTTGACAGCTTTGTATGACTTGGATATTTTATGGCGTATATCCACTATATAAAAGAATGACAACACTGCATTCTCGTTTCGGTTCAATATGGCTGTTGTAGTTAAAAATTATCTTTGGCTTAAATGTCATGATTCTTTTTCTTCGAACGCACCTTTCCTAAAGTGAGTTTTACCAGTGGTTTTTTAATAAAACTGTGAAAGGAATGAAATCAGGAGTCATTTCATAAGTAGGTTGAGCATGATCGTCCGGGTGATCGTAGTCTTAAATAGGACTGTTTCTGTTGACAGTGACTGAGGTTTGGACAACCTGTGCGGTAGTCATCTTCAGAGTTATAGTGAGATGTATCACGTCAGTCGATGCTATTAAACTCGTGACCTTATTGGTCAATTTAGTCACGATGTATTGGTCGTCTGCCAGTTAAGCCGTGATGTTTACGAGCACTTGTGCTCTTAGGCGTTTACGTGGGTAAATAAATTATTGATTGATTGATTGATTGATTGATGTTATTAGGTATGAAGACTCAATATGTCATTGGACATGCGTTTCGATCCTTCTATTGTCACAGTTGCATTGCTTATTGTTAGTCAAATTTTCAGTTCTCCAGTCGTTCTCTCGTAGTTAGTTTTGCTTGAGTCCGTCAATAAGTTGTTTGTACGGAGCTAGTAATTATTGACTACTGATTCAGTGGCGTTTTTCTAGGTTAGTAAACCAGATTTCTAAAATGAATTGTTGATAGCAGTCTTTAAGGAACGTAATACAATTGTTACAGAGTCCCAGTCGATCTGATGTTTAGTCTGTAAATGGTGTTCAGCACTGAATGTGCTTGTTTACATCACGATTTCTTGTCGCCCTTTTGCGTTCAGTTAGTTGCTTGCTAAGGTGTCTGCCGGTTTCACCAATGTAAGTAGCCTGGCAGTCGCAGCATTTGATCTCGTATACTGTTCCTTGTCTGACCTCCGCTTTGTCTTTGTCCTTGACATAAGTTAGTAGTCGTCGTAAAGTAATTATCGGTTTGTGTGCAACGCGTATGTTGTAAGGTTGTAGCATACGTGCGATAGTTTCCGAGGTGCCTCTGATGAACGTTATAGCCCCTGTCGCAACAGGGCCTGAGTGTTGGAATCGGCGTTGCTGTGAGTGTTCCGTCTAACAAAGTCCACGTTGTAGTTGTTTTAGCTAAAAACGTTGTTTAGGTAGTCAGTGTCGTCTTGTAGGTTGTCAGGTATAAAAGTCGCAAACTAATTGCGCTCGTCTTATCAAACTCCGTATAGTTGTGGCCTTGTGAGAGGTCGGATTGTAAGATGACTGGTTAAGTAAGCCTACGAGCAAGCTCTCCACTTTTGGCGAGCGAGCTGCAAGGCCGCGAGGGGCGGATTTAAAGGAGCACTCGCGTCTCCTTTCGCCTGCTGCTCTCCCATGATTTTTCGCGACTCCCCTAAATGGAGAGCTTGCTCGCAGGCTAGTTAATTGTCGTTCGTAGTCTGTGGTTGTCGCGGGTGACCAAGTAGTCTAGTCTCCTTGGTAAAAGGTATGTCCACGCTCTGTCTGTTAAGGAGATCGTGAAGGTAGTCGATTTCGTTAGTACAGCGGTAAAAGTGTCGTCAACGTAGCGTAACTAAAGAGAAAAATGTCACGCGTGTGGCCATTTATCCCAAAGAGTTGATATTTATATTCGATTTAAGAGTCACTCGTTTCTTCTTTCCCTTCCTCGGCGCCATCCTTATAGTTCTTCCTAACCTGATTATTATGTGCGCATGTCCCAAAGCGTCGAAGTCTTTTATTGGCTAACCACTTAGCGAATCTTTCTTTGGGAAAAAATGCTCCAAATTAGCGTATACTTACCTTAACCTTTCCGATGTTTTTTTTTTCCAAGAGAGACTAGAGCCGAGTTCCGAACTTTCGAAAGGGACTTGACCCGGGTCATTTGTCTGTGCCCCAACGTTATGATAATCATAACTTTGAGGCCAAATAAAAAACAACGATGATCATCACTTTGGTCTCGAGATCATGTTGCTTCCGCAAACCGGTTCGTCGGGATGCAGACCTCTCGATCGATTTCCTAGAGTCGAATTGGAAAGACTTGCAATAAAATAAAATCTATATTTAAGCCAAAGATAAAATAAAACCAAAGAACAGCCGCTTGGTTTGCGTAAGGGTGTTAATTCTCATTGCTTTAGATGGTGGGCTGGACAAACGTATGCCATACTGTCACGTGACAACCGATTAGATACCAGATTCTATTACCAGTGGTGCTCCGTGCGCGCTATTGTTAGTTTCCTGTTGCTTTCTAGCGCTGCAAACCTGTTTACGTTACATCATTACTCTTGGAAATACATTGAACTCCAAGAAACATTGCGATTTTAACAAACACTTTATTTTGTACTGTCTTTCAGTGGTAAGATGCTTGCCCAGGTTATATGGACCGGCTGGAGGCAGCAAAGTTTGCACCATGGATAACATGTATGGTTCGGAGTGTTCCTTCGAATGCCAACCTGGTTATATCATGCTGGGTTCGGCCAAAAGAACTTGTGAAAAAAATCTGACGAGCTCCTTTGGCTTCTGGACTGGAAATGATACAATGTGTGAATGTAAGTTATATATCACATGATATCATTTACGTGTTAATATTTGCAGGCTGTTAGCTCTTTCCTTGAGAGTCTGAAATTGCAAAATATAAGGACCAGTTTAGAGGCTGGAATCGAGGAGACTTCCAAATTCTTCTTGTGTGCCATTTTTTCATTTCTTCCAGACCTTCTTCTTGTTGTAGTTGTTCATTATCATCATCAACAGTATGAACAATACATCAACGACAATTTCACCCACCGTCATCATCGATCGTCATATTCTTCGACTGAATGCCACTCTTATTATTTCTTTTTGTCCCTTGGAACTGTGCATACGTTAACTGTGACAAACTTTTAGATAGTCACATTTTCACATTAGATAGTCAAAAAAACTATAAAACCTATCATTATTTACTTTTGTTTTTAGTGGTCAGGTGCCCTCTCCTTCCTCCTCCTCCTCACAGCGTTCTGTCAGGCTGTGGATTCGGTTCCATTTATAATGTCTTTGGTGACAAATGCCTTTATGATTGCGACATTGGATATCTCAAAATAAACGGTTCAAGTGAGAGAGTCTGTCAGGCAAATGGGACATGGTCAGGGCAACCACCCGACTGTCAAGGTGTGAACATAAACAAAGCGTTAAATGGTTTATTCAATTGCTTTTCTTGTTACAGATATCAAAACGAAATCACTATTGATGAAATGGAGAGTTCTCGGTATTAGAACGCTCTTTCCCAATTTGTTTTGGCTCTTGGGCCATTAGTTTGTGGGGTTTTTGCTGATAAAATTCCCTTGCCATTTGGATTAGGTAGCGCTCCGTGAACCTTTTATCATTGAAGGGAATAGACAAACGCTTACATGAAATGAATGAGCATTAGAAAATTAATACTTTTGCACCATGCTTTTCTTAGTCGTTAGTTGTCGTTCCCTGGAGCCACCAAAGAACGGGTCCGTAACACCAAATTCGTGCACAGCCTCTCCAGAATACGGTAAAACGTGTTACTTCTCATGTGCGAGAGGCTACAGACTGCATGGGGAGCCATTTGCTTTCTGTCATAGCAACGGACAGTGGTCCATAAGCACCAGTGCTTTTTGTGAAGGTTAGTATAATGTTTGACTAATTCTGATAGGCTATATGCAGATTCAGTTTCTGTGGTCACTCCAATTCATTTGTTTTTCTGAGCAAAGGAATGTAACCTTGCAACTGAATTATAACAAATACTATTAGGCCCAACCATTCTGTCATTATTACTTTAAATTCACGCGTATTAAATTGTCAAGGTATCTAATCTATTAAAACGTTTTATATTAGACGTGGAAAGACCTTCGTTTGGCTCAACGTGCCCCTATGATATAAAACGCTACGCTGACAAAGGGAAGAACTACACAGCAGTAAGCTGGCCTTCAGTTTTAGCTACTGATAACTCAGGAGTGACCCCGAATGTTTCTTCTACTGGTGTAGCCAGAATATACTACACAGGAAGGCATACCGTTATATACATCGCCAGCGATGAAGCTGGGAATTCCAGGATCTGCAAGTTTGACGTCATCATTGAGGGTAAGACGAGACTTGGAAATGCATTAAGCACGCAATCTGCAAAGACGGTGAAACAAATATATCGATTAGCTGATAAATTTTTACATCAGACCCCAAGTGGATAAGGCCATTGCACTGGATAAACCTCTATCCAGTGGATAACGCAATCGGCCAATTTCTATATATTAAAATTCATACTTGACTCCGAGGCTTGGGGGATTAAAACAAAAGAAATGCATTATTCATTGCTATCCTCAAGATGATTTCGTTTGTTTTATTCCTTTTTAAGTTTCGATAAATTAAAATTCAGACTTGGCACTGAGGCTTTTAAGTCTCAGTGTCTGAATTGGTCTAATGGCTTGCCTAATAAACATCCGCCGGACAGTGATTTATCAGTTGAAGGCCCTATTAAAAGTATGAAGAACCTGAGCCTGGGTGAAACACTAAGCAAGTATTCAAATAAGTACATCTCCCATACACTAAGGGCGCTTTCCAAAGGTCAGAACTGGCCGGCCGGACCATGGCTGGACAAGACATATTGGCAATGAAACAGGCTTTATCCATCTCCTTCGTGCATAATACTGTACTTAGGATTTGACTGACCTGGATGGTTAGTTTTGATTAAAACTGAAATTTTCATTACGATGGGAAGGGGCGGGCCGGTCAGTTCTGACAAATGGAAAGCGCCCTAAAAGACACTAAGATATAGTAATGTATCCAGCAGCTCGAAATTAACTTATTCTTGCTTTCTGTCATAGTTTTGCGATGCCAAACAATGTTCCCTCCGAGGAACGGTTTTTTGGTGGGCAAGTGTGAGAATTATTTTGGGTCAACCTGTACATTTGGGTGTGACGATGGATACAACTTACTTGGTGCAGAAAATATATCGTGTGAAGCAAGCCCTGGTCACATCACGGGTTATTGGGACAATCCAGTTCCTGTCTGCAAAGGTAAACACAGAATGGTGTAAGACATTTTTTGTATAAACAATGAGGACAACAAATACTAGGTGGTTAATTGAGTGACCATTTTACCTATTGATGCTAAATAACAAGGAACGACTGTGTTCCTTTCTGAAGAAAAAACGGAAAATGGGTGCCTGGGAGTCTGGGATGTCTGGAGGCCTCCACTTTGACCAGCCCGGCCTTTGGACAGATAACCGCTCTCATGGCTGGCAATCCCCGCAAGCTCCCACACCCACTTTTTACGGTGAGAGTGAAATGAACTGTATGTATAATTATCTTGGTCACTGTCGTTTTTTAGTCCTTATGGTTATTGTCGAACACCATCACCATTATCACTATCACTACGATCATCTCCACCATTCAGCGACATCATTATTGTTACCACCATGTCATCATCATTATAATTATCGTTATATCGTAAAACAACCTATGATGAACTTTCCTCAAACAGAAAATCGACTAAAGAAAAAGCTTTTTGTTCTTGTTTGCTTAGTCCGTAGATGTTCTTCATTAACGGTGCCGCAGTTTGGCTATATTTATCCTTACATGTGCTCATCATATCCAATAAGTGGAACTGTTTGTTATTTGGAATGCAGACATGGATTCCAAAGCAATGGAGGCGTAACGGTGTTGCAGTGTGGGAATAACGGAAAATGGAACCAAAATGTATCGTCTACTTTGCAGTGCAAAGGTAAGTCATTTCTTTGGCTTTTTCGTCTGTTTAAAACAAAACAGAAATTAAATTGAACAATGTTGTTTTTCTAAAATAAGGTGCTTAAGTAAATCATGGCCGCCTTTAGTCGTGAGCTTGACAGAATGTACCGTGGTTCAAGTCCTCTGATGTGACATTATTAAGGGTTGCATTTCTCATATGTTGCATTGCAGACGTTGTTCCTCCCGTATTCATGAGCTGTCCATCCGATATTCGCGCCAGTATCAACGATAATTCGTCGGCATCGGTAAACTGGACTTTTCCTGTGGCTACTGACAACAGCAACGAAGCACCGCAGATCACTGTATCACCAGCTGGAGTCACTTCACCTTACACGTTTTACACCTCTACTGTCATTACCTACACTGCAACTGATGCGAGTAGAAACAAGGATGAGTGCTCATTTGAAGTCTCTTTGCAAGGTCAGAAAATACTGGGGCATTTATAAACGACTGTTTTCTGTAAATTATCGGTTCGGAGAAGCAAATATTGCCAAGAATTTTCTATTGCTTGAATAAGGCTAAAAATTTCTAGATGAGCGTTCCATTCAGGTGCAATTTTCGAAGCTTATCTAAAAAATTCCCTACGATTTTCAGAAGTTTGACTTTTCACATTTTACTACCCCATGTTAGGCTAATTTTCGTAGAAAAAGGAAACCTAAAACTTTCAGATACAAAAATGTGATGGAGGGAGGAATAAGAAAAATTCTCACTTTCGTAAAACGTTTAATTGCGTCTTAAATTTTCGGGAAAATGGCATTGAAGCCCTTGTAATTTCGAAAAGCCTCAAGTTCCCCCAGGATGACCGAACCGGATACAAATTTTATAGCGTCGCTTAAAATTTATTTCTAGAGATCTAAGAGTACTCTGGATAGCCCAAAAAGTGTTTTCAATGTATTTAGCAGGAAACCGTCGTTGGGTGCCCCTGAAAATATTCCTTATTGAGAAAGCATGACTGAGGTTAAGATGGCTGGATGTTGGCGAGGATATTGGTCGGACATTTAATGGACTGAGAGGAAATCGAAGTCCATAGAGACGTAAAAATGCCACACTCTAGTCGGCAAGACCGAACTTTCTTGGAATACAAACTAGCGATTTATGATAAGGCCAAAAGATTGAATTTACTTGCGATGACAACGCGGGCAATCAAGAGCGGGCCAGATAGACCCATTTTGGAGCTGGAGTCGCCAATCAAAGTACAGGATTCGCTTCATCTTGTCCGCTCACAATTAGTAATTTGTAATATATTAAAGAAAGTTACCAATTTGTTTCAAACTGGCCTTTTTCCACATAAAAAAGTCAAATTTGCCAAACTCAGCACAAAACAGGTTTGTAACGTGAAAAAGAGACCGTTGCAATGTTTAATGTTAAAGAAAGTCACCAATTTGTTTCAAATTGGCCTTTTTGCACATAAAAAAGTCAAATTTGCCAAATTCAGGACGAAACAGGTTTGTAACGTGAAAAAGAAGCCATTCCAGTGTTTAACGTTAAACATAATACTTGCTTAAATAGGTTTTACCCATTCCCATTCCTCGCCGGAAGTGGACCATATGTACCTAAGCATACATTTGTGTCTAATGTCAACCTCCAAATCAATCGCATGTCTTAATTTATGACAAATCTGAACCACCCTTTTCTAAGAATTCATTTTATTTACAGACAATTCAGGCCCCGAGGTTGTATACTGCCCACCTGACCAAAACATAACTGCAACACAGATGAGGACAGTTGTAACATGGATCTCCCCGCAGTTCAAAGACAATAGTAACAGTCCTTTGTTCATTACATGCAGCCATAAAAGTGGGGCACAGTTTTACTGGGGAACCTGGAACGTGCATTGCACGGCGTTTGATAACAATCCAAATAACAATCCCGCCGTTTGCCAGTTTACCATCAGGTTAAAACGTAAGTCGGTAGTAAGTGACATCATCACCCGGGGCCACCGGATACCCCTGTGAAATTCTGTTGGAGGTGTAGGGTATGCCTCTTGACAACCAGCTATAATTTGCATGACTTTTCCTACCCGATTTCATACCTGAACAGCTGTTCTCAAGAGACGAATGACAAATAGAGGACACACCAAATTCCAGATACAGGTAGCAGATAGTACAAAACCTTACACTATGACAGGATCCAGACGGTTAAAACCTATACTTATTACCCAATTTCGGACCAATTGGTCACTTTGACACACTTTCACAGACCCCCAATTGCTTTCTAATCAATTTTCATGACATTCAACGTTCATTCCATATGGTAATTTACGATCACCAAACTATGCTAGTTTTACAAGTGATTTCAGCTGGTAGCATAAAGTAAAATGAAAGCCTTGGCAACAAGCGTACAGCAGCCCTCCGTTACAGTGCGATTACTCAAACCGGGGAACTTCGAGCAAGAGTATCCAATCACAACGTTTTTTGAAAACAAAAGATTCTCAACTTTTTTTTGCAAACAGACCAATAAATTTCAAGGTTAACAATGCAGCCGTTGAAAACTTTAAAACCGTTGATAGGCAGCTATAACTGATAGGCAGCTTATTCTTGTCTATTGTAGTATCATCAGGTCTGTTTTTGAGTATGCGAGTCCCGCTTGGGCTGGCCTCACGCAATACTTAAGTGATCAAATTCAATCAATACAAAAGAGGGCGCTAAAAATTATTTTTCCTTCTCTGTGCTATGAGGACGCGCTTAAGAAATCAGGCTTAATTTTGCTGCGCCAGAGGAGGGAGGATGCGTGCATAACATTTCTCAAGCAAAGTTACTCTTCTTCCGACCTGCTACGAAGCTTAGTGCCGCGAGTTGCGCACACAAGACCGTATGCCCTTAGAACAGGAGAATCTGTTTCTGTGCCTGCCTCCCCAAGAACTAACAGATTTGGAAATTTTTGCACTATCAAATACCAGAATCACGTTTAAAATAGCGAAATGTGATATGTCTTAACATTAACAGTTATATTTACGTGTCATAATTCCGAGGTATTTGTATGTAATTAATGACCCGCCTTGAAATTCAGTTTATGCTGCAAAAAGGTTGAATAAACGATCATTATTATTATTGTTATTATTATTATTATAACTTACCTGACCTTTCAGAAAACAGCTTTCAAATTCATGAATGTTATTGGTCCGTTTGCACAAAAATCTTGAGAATCGTTTGTTTTTAAAAACCGTTGTAATTGGATAATCTTCATCCAAGTGCCCCAGTTAGAGTAGTCGCACTGTAATTTGTCTTTGAAATAAAACATACCCCTGCAGATCATCATGCTGGTCTGCCAATCTGCAAACTCACAAAATCCCACATGCAAAACACAATTAAGTGAAAATAGAATAATCTTACGTTTTCACTAGCTCTGGAATTAATTAAGGATTTGTCAACGTAGATCAACTTAATCAACTTTTAGCATTTACATATGTTAATACCAAAGAATAACTTTAAATCTAAAGAGAGGCACATGGTTGATTTGATATCGATCTGTACTAAGTTTTTTGTAATCTGCCTCCATACAGCGAAAGATTGCATTGATCTGGCGCCTCCCAAGAACGGGGCAAAGGCCTGTGATGACTGGGCATTCGGAAGATATTGTACTCCCTCTTGTAACAGCAATTGGGATTTTACTCAAGAAGTGCCTCCATTTACAATTTGGGTATGTGGATCATCAGGGACATGGTCTCCATCAAGCCGGTTGCCAGATTGCTCAAGTAAATAGAAAACTGGTGTTTTTTTAACTAGTATATATGCTGGTGTTTAATTTTATCCTTGGTTTAATTTTTTCCTTTGTTTCAAACCATTATCATACATTTGCCTTTCTAACAACTAGGGGGGGCAATAAAATGTAAACCAAGGATGAAATTAACCCACAATTAACATGGACCAACATTTTACTAAAAAGGGTGTTATCCGACCATATAACTAAGGGGCCTATTATCCGCCTGGGCAGATAACACCCTCCTCGATCTGCATAATTATTCAAATCATACTTAGCCTCATCCAGTAATTGGTAATTATTCCACGTAGTCTAATAATTGTGTTCCTTTCATTGAGATGTATGTCTGAGCCCACTTGTTACGGCGGGTGGATGACGTCAAAATTAGTACTACCAAATTGAATGGCGTTTTACAGAAATGAATGGATCACGTCTAAATTGAAGGGCTAACGAAACTGAATGGTTCATCGTAAGTGGAATGGCATATTATCAAAGTGAATGGCAGTTTACCAAAATGAATGGATTACTTTCAAGCTGAATGGTTCATTTCAATTGAATAGCAAGTTACAAAATGAATGGATCACCGTCAAATTCATGGCTCATTACCAAACTGAATGGTTCATCGTAAATTGAATGGCATATTGCCAAAGTGAATAACAATTTATAAAAATAAATGGATTACTTTCAAATTGAATGGTTCAGTTCAATTGGATGGCAAGTTACAAAATGAATGGGTCACGGTCAAATTGAATGGCTCATTAACAAACTGAATGGCACCCGCCGCGAATGGAATTCGGACAACAATTAAAGCTTAACAAGGTTTCTAAAAAAAGGTCACTAAAAAGAACGGGCTTTGTTCAGAGCTTAATGCAGCAGAGAATTAAGAGTCTCTGGGTCCCTTTTCATTCAATCATTCATTAATTTATTTTGCCATTAACCAGAAATACAACAACAGTATACAGAAATACATTAAAGATAATATACAATATTAATTCCAACTAAGTTATTTACAAGATTAAACGTGGTAAAGGCAAGGAAGCCTATATAGAAGCCGGGGGCTTATAAACTATAGGCTTCCTGGAACTATAGGGTAAACGTATACAAGTTAAGGGTACTGAAGGAAAATTTGGATTAATTTTAAAAAAAGGTAAAAGAAAGAAAGAAGAGAAAAGAAGACAAAAAGGAAAATTAAAAGGTGTGTAGCTCAACAAAGAGTCAATTTAACTAAGAAAGAAGGAATTTTTTAAGTCTTTTGCCAAACAAACTGATACTTTCACTGTTTTGAATTTCCCGACTTAGCGAGTTGAAAAACGTAGGACCTTGAAACCGAATTGAGAATTTTCGAAAATTAGTTCGACAATGATCATGAGGTATATAGAAAAGGCTGGAATTAGTTCGACAATGAGGTATATAGAAAAGGCTGGAATTTCTTGTATTATAAGAATGTATCTGGCTTGCAAGAGAAAACATAGCACGAAAATAATTTGGAAGTAAGCCTCTTTTAAAAATATACATAAATTTACCTATTTGGTATAAATAAATGTCCGAGAATTTTAAAATCTCCTGCTCTTTAAAAAGAACACCGGTATGAGCATCAAAAGAAACTTTAGATATTATTCTGATTATCTTCTTTTGCAATAATAATCCGATTTAAATTAGACTGATATGTCGATCCCCACACTGAAACACAATAAGTTAAGTTGAAATCGGTCAGCTGAAAGTTATGTAATATTTTTTTTCTTACGGAAAAGCATTAAATGTGTTTAATCCAGCAAGACTTTCTAATTTATTAATAAAGCTTGAGCTAGAGCTAAAAGAACTTCGGTGTCTGCATTTGTTAATTTACTGTGAACGGATGCAATTCAGTGCATATCTATGACCCAGCATTTTCTTTTTTCAAGGTTGCTGTGCTTGATCTGTATAAGATAACGAAATTTTTGAATTAGGGGCATACCGTACTATTACTTTTTATTAATTTTATTGACACTATCAGGGAATTGTGAGACCTTGTGAATATGCCTTTCTTGAGTACACATTTGTTCGTCAAAAAACGTTGTTTGTGACGCTGCACTTTGTTTGATTCAGGACCAATCAATCTTTTCTGAAGAAAAAAGAACAAATTAAGTATGTTAACATGTCAAATACTTCAACACTGCTTTAGCTAACGACAACTGTTAACGAAGAAACTACTTCACTGTGAAACAACAACCTCTTCAATATAGGACTCGAGAAACAAAAGGTAATTGAGTCGTAATTTAATTTATACAATGAAATTATAAAGTTTGAATGAGATCTGTATTAGTGTTCTCTCATAATTTCGACAGTTTGTTTTGAATGTTCTGTTTTCATCTTACAATGGTGAAAAAAAAAAAAAACAAAAACAACAACAAAAAAACAGAAGATCCAAATTGGAAACTGCATGTCCTACACAACTGCATTCATCAACATGATCCAACTAAAAATTTCATTAAAAGTTTACTCCAAACATTTAACTCGCGTAAGTTAAATTTGTGATTGTTTTTTCTTGGAAAAAACTTTTGATTCCTTAATACAGTGAAACCTCTATTAAGCGGACACCCTCTATTTTAAGTGGACACTAAGCCGGGTCCTGAAATTAACGTCTTATATTTCCCTTTATAACGAACCCCTATTCAGCGGACACCTCCATTAAGGTCATTAAGCGGACGCGGACACTAAAATAAATTGTATTTGGCTAATTTTTATTCTCAACAACCTCTATTAAGCGGACACCGGACTAAATTGACATTACTAGTATTGGACTACGTCCTTGAAATACGTACTGCAGTCGATTAATAAAGATAAATCAATACATTTAGCTGTCAATAAACTGTAGATTAGACCGAAATCCGGCCGTATGATTGTCATCCGCGAACAAAGTTCATCTAAAAGTCTTGCACAAAGTACAGCACAGCTTTCTTAGCTTCCTTAAAGGAACAGTATCCCGTTACTGCGCATGCACCAAACTTTGATTTTTGGACAGGATGTCGCGAAATCAAAAGATGCGAGGAGGGTAAGAGCGAGAAAAGTAAAGGGATATGCCATTCAATTTACGATGAACCTTTCAGTTTGGTAACGAGCCATGAATTTAACGGTGATCCATTCATTTTGGTAAATTGCCATTCGCTTTGGTAATATGCCATTCAATTTACGATAAACCATTCATTTTGGTAAAACGCCATTCAATTTGGTAGTACTAATTTTGACGTCATCCACCTACCATACCAGCTCCGACGTAGAACATCGTATCAGGAACAAGGGCTGATCGCCTGATGGGTTTGCTTTTTTCCTCGGGCTTCTTTTGGTAGTCAGTAAAATTGCATGCATAACTGCAATGAGATTTCATCATTTAATTCAGAATAAGCGGTTCATATATGATTTATGTCATGCAATTTGTTTTGACCAATTATGTTGATCAAAGCAACCCTTGGTATTCGTTATTTGATAGTTATGTAGAACTTGAAATTATCAAAGAACATATCCATCTACTTATTGATTTGAGGGAGGGTTTTACAGTGCCACTACACGAACCGAGGCCACCCAGACAAAAAAAAAAAAGACAAATTTTGAAATTAGCCAATCACAAGTCGAGATCTAAACAATGAAACTGGGCATAATTTTGTACTCAGAGCCAGTTCAAAATACGTTGCGAACCAGTTTATAAATAAGGAATCATGACATTTGTGTAAATCAAGCTGAAAATGTTTTGACAATGTCTGGGTTGGCTGGAATCAAAGCCAGCAGTAACGAAGATCCGAACTATGAAAAGGCAACGGCCGCTCACCAAAGATTGTTTTTATTATTCGAAGGAATTTTGGGTTTTTCTATTGTGTCAATCATCTTAGCGGACCTCCTAGGAAACAGATGTTCACTTGAAGGAGTTTAATAGGTCAAAGGGCAAACGCCTAATTCAAGTGGATAATTTCTCAAGATAGAAAATGACCAGATAAACACAGCTCAAAACAATTCGTAAAGATACAAAATTGCGTGAAACGACTAATTTATGTGCAGAAATAATGAACAGTGAACGACAATTACAGTGAAAACTTGGTCACGTGGCAAAAATTCGCGTTTGCCGTTTGACGTATACGTGACGCTAAAACTCTATTGTTTAGATCTCGACTTGTGATTGGCTAATTTCAAAATTTGTCTCAAAATTTTGTCTGGGTGGCCTCAGTTCGTGTGGTGGCCCTGTAATTGGTTACTAGATTGTAAGGTTCTGTGCAAAAACATAACATGCTGCCTATAACACTTCTTGTTATATAGCTGAAATTTTTCCCAACAGCGTTCCGTCTCAATGGTTACTTCGAGGTTACATTACATCTAACAATGACACTGCTTCCCGCCAAAATCTCTGAGCGGGCAACATTACAAAACCTATGACGTCAGAGGGTAACATTGCACTGTTACCAGCGGATGTTGACCGCTTGCGAGATTTACCTTCATAATTTGAACACGAAAACGTTTTTCTTCGTAAGCTATATAACAAATCACTTAAAGACTGGTCCCTCGGAAGCAGTCATTAAGTGTTTATTAATATATTTCCAATAAATCACTGCAGAGGTATACCAAGCAGGTCAAACTAGAATGGCAATGGATTTGTACTATTTCGACGGAGATTGCAGTACACCGGAAGCCCAAGCACAAATAAGAGAGAACTTCATTCGGATTTTAAACGGGTCCCTTTTTCGAGTGATGTGCCAAGATCCTGTGTTCAAAGATCGCTGCACGGCTGAGAACGTAGAGGTAACATGCGGTGAGGTTACGACCGCAAGACGGAAAAGACGTTCATCAGGTTGGTGTAATATTGGTTGAGTATCATAGCGGTACATCCAGCAAAAAGCTGGGACATAAACCAATGGACTCTTTCTTGCAGTGAATCTGAGTTGACTGTACTTCTTGGAAGGACGATTGACGCGAGATCGAAGACCATCAGTCAGTGTAACTGGGTAGTTTTTTAGGACAATTTTTCCAAAACACGGTTCTTTTTTACTCTGGACAAACTTTTACCTGGAGATGCTTTGAGTAATAGCACCTGTCGCTCTAGGAAAAAGAACCTATGGACCTCAGAAATATATAGCTCAAGAAATACGACTCTCGGGTCCTCTAAGTCCAGAGTCTCTCGATCCTTTGGGAAATAACTTGGGTATAGTGACAGCAAAATATCGATTAAAATAACTCTGACCTTATGCAAAATATTTGAACTGTTAAAAGACTGTCTCAAAGCGATATTTACAAAGTGTATGTGTTTATTTTGGGCTAATTTTTCCTTTCCTCAGATGGTGTTGGTGATCGCATTCGCACAAAAGTCCATCTTGATATTGTTGGTAAGTTCTGTGCAGCCGAGGTCTAACCCGAAAACGTTCTTCACAGACGTTTGATGTCTCATACACCCCGCCACCCCCCCCCCCGCCCAGGCGTAGTTTCTGGACTTTGTTTTGGGTTATTGCGTCTCACAATCAGGCATGTGGTTTTAATATGTAATCTCATAAGGTGATGAAAATCTCCGGGACCTCAAACCAATTCCATTTAGAAAATACAATAGAAAGTCCACTTCTTGAGGCTTTGTATCATACACGCCTTTCTACATACATTACAAGTACGGGAGTAATTCCTAGCCATAATAGTGATTAAAGTGGTGAGAACGAACATGAGACAGTATGTTGATCTCAGTCTCAGATGGTACTTGTGCAATAAGTTATACACTTAAATTCAAAATCCTCATCTACTTTCGGAGTTACAATCCTTACTATTCTTGAAGAACAGTAAACGTTGCTTAACACCGGCTTTGAATTAATAAATATGGATGAAGTTGGCCAACAGCTGAAAGTAAGAGTCCACTGATAAAGATTACAACAATTTCACTTACAACAATTGTTTGACATACGGGCTGTAGCTAGAGCAATTTTGAAAAAAGATCCGCGAAGTTTTATTTTCAAAAAAATCAACAATAATACTTATGACATGTAAATCTTTTGAAGGGCCTCGATCGTTCTCTTGGGAAAATTATTGCTCCCGTGTAAGCCCTGTGTTTCTTACAACGAACGTTTCACCTTTCGCAGTAATCCTTGGCAACAGTACCGGAGTAGATGACGAGAAACAAAGCAAGATCGAAGCAGGTTTAGCAGGCGTGGAGATCGCTAAAAACTTAAGCAGCGAAATCAGGAAAGCAGTTGAGATTGGTGTCCTCAATCTGACCATAAACGGCACGGTGTTTGTTCCTGATGAGCAGTCGTTGAACTTCTCAGAGCCTGAGATACTTTGTGCAAAAGGACAATCCTTTAGAGATGGAGTCTGTGGTAAGTGATTTCTTATCCTCACACACATACACGTAAAGCAGTGGAAATTAAGGAGCTTTGACATGGACTTCTGTTTATGATATTGTCTCTGCATTTTGTTGTCATTATTTCATTAAACTCTAATGCTGTTTGCATACAAAGAAAGGCACTTCATCAAAATACAACTGAAAACGTGAGAAACGGGAAAACGGAGAAAAGTAGAGGAGTAGCCCACCAGTGGCTTTAGGTGGCCGTTGCAAAACCCCTCGTGAAAACCACTTACAGTAAACCAAATATAATTCACTTTTATATTTCATACTATTTTTTATCATGTTATTTTTTAAATTCATTCTCACTTGAGACTTGAGAAGCATTATCTTTATTACCATAATCGCCATCATCATTATCACCACCACCACCACTACGATCATCATCATCACCATCATCATCAGAACCCGCAGCACCAGCAGCACCAACAGCAGCAGTAGCATCGTCACCAATATTAGTATTCATGAATGTTAAACGAAAAACCGTCAGGGATGCGTGACACTTCAATAGCTGATAAGGTGATACTCGGTAAAGAAATATCAAAAAGTGTCAAATGTTTTCAAAAAAAACAAACGTTCCGGGTTTATGACCCTTTTTCAGTGTGAGGAAAAAAACCCGTTGTACAGGAGGGTCTCAATGGAGTGGTGGCTTTTACGGTTATCGGCTAAAATTTTGGCTCTTTTACGGCTATCGGTTAATTTTTTTTCAGTTACGGTTAACGAAAAAGTTAAAAATTAACTTCTTTTGTTTCAAAGAGTTAAATATTAATTAACCTGTATATCTTAAATCAAAATAAAGGTCTTCGGATCATCCCGGGATGAAATAAGCTATTCTTTTGAAAAATTTCAACATTTGATATTATTTTACACATAGAAATGTCAATAGTCAATTTAAAAATAATCTTTGTGAAAAAGCAAAAGCAGACACGCGAACGCCCATCTCAAGGCCGGGGCGCGACATTCATTATAACAGAAATGGCCGTTTTCACGCTAGAGAAGGATTATTCGTGTGAGACTGGTTATCCGTTTGATGATTCGCGTCAGATAGGTAGTACTTCTTAATTTGACAGTGGAATAGGTTTAATTTTGAATGAACAATCCCCCTGACTTTTGAAGACAGGATTAAACGTTACAGATAGCCTGTGTACAGCCGCCCCCTCCCCTCAGGAAAAAATCGGAGAAGGGGTGTCTGTAGGGAGGGCGCGACTGTACACAGGCTAGTCTCAGACGGATGATCCATTTCTAGCTCTAGTGTGAAAACGGCCTATGACAAAATTCCCGTGTCCAGTGTTTTTAATGATAGCGAAGGACTGTACGGAACGACTGTCTGCCGTTGCCTTGTCCGTAGGCCACATTATTCCGCGCGGCTGACGCGTTTCGGGTCACGTGGTCCGAGCGAGTTCGCCACCGAAATGCCTTGACCGAGATTGCGTGGGAAGACGGCGAACAGGGACTAGGAATGGCAATGTCTACCGTAGCGTCAGAGAAAAACAGGGAAATGTTGTTTATCAGCAACGTGTTTTACAAACAGTGACATCTCTGCGTATTGTTTCACTATTGTTTCGAGGGCACGATCTCCTGAAAATTGCAAATATTAATCCCCAGCAAGAAGCCACACTTTCGCTATGGAAAAAATTAGTTCCCCGAGAGAGCGCCGGAAATCGAGCCTAGGTCTTGGTTAACACCTAAAAGGCGCTTCGCCTAACGTGCGTACGGAGTCACACTAGCCGGGAAAATAAAAAACGCAACCATAAATGAGGTTAGTACCTTCCTTAAAAGTAGCAAATCTAGGGAACACTTTCTTTTACGGTTAACTCTTTCTTACCCTATTTACGGCTAACGGTTAAAATTTTTTAATTTTTACGGCTATCGGCTAAATTTTTGGCCGTTTTACGCCCATCGGTTAACCCCATTGAGACCCTCGTACAGTACTACGCAATATTATAGACATAAAAGTGATAAATGTCCCACTTCAAGCGAAACTGAAAATGATATTCAGTCCTTTCGGCTGAACGGTGACTAGTTGGAAAATCAACCGCATCTCACGTTGCTTTCGTTGAATGTTAATACCACTGCATAATGCCACACCACGCACCTGGACATCAGAAATACTTTGGCCAGTGGAGTTGAAATGTTGCGCCACAGGAAACCCAGGAGTGTTATTGTGTATACTTCGCAGATGTTCGCCGGAACGACTTCTGAGGTTTCTTCCAGTCTCACCAATGTGAAGAAGTGGGCATCGGCGGCAGGATATGCAATGGCCAAGATTCTCGATGGACAAGATTCTCGGATTTCGCTTGACAATCCGAGAACCTTGTGTATTGCATATCCTGTACAACGGTTTTTTCTCGCACTGAAGAAGGGTCATAAACCCGAAACGTTTGTGTTTTTTTGAAAACACTTGACACTTTTTGATATTTCTAAAACCGAGTATCACCTTATCAGCTAATAATATTAGTATTCTTCTTTCATTCCTCACAATGATGTATTTTGCATTCCTCAGTAAGCTGTTCATCAGGAACATACTTCAACAAAACCCTTGGTACATGTGAAGACTGTCCTGTTGGGTCGTATCAAGAGGAAGAGTCACAAGAAACATGTGTGCCATGTCCACCGAGAACTTCAACGGAAGAAACAAGATCTGACGATCGATCTAATTGTACAGGTAATAGCAGCCTGTTGCAGTACTAACACTTAAGCCTATGCCTTTTCTGTTATCTTCAGCTTTGTTTTCCCCTGCTATTTTGCCGACCTAGCTGTAAATTCAAGGTACAGTCGACTCCCGATAACTCGAACCTTCAAGGGAAATCGAAAAAAGTCCGATTTATCGGGAGTTCGAGTTATCAGGAGTTTGAAGCAAATAACCGGAAGTGAGGAAATAAGAAAATGGATGGGGAGGGAATGTAATTAAGCAACAAAGTGTACAGCCAATGAACACTGAATTTGAACTGGAGTGACAAAAAAGTAAAGACAAAGAATTTACTCGGTTGTTTTGAAATAAATTCAATGTTTCGGACTTCGATACACGGTTTTTTTCCCAACTTGTCACGCGCTTATAACATGGTACGAGTTATCGAGGGTAAAATTGTATAGAAATGAGCTGAAGGGAAACAAAAATTACTTCGAGTTAGCGCGAGGTTCGAGTTATCGATGGTTCGAGCTACCGAGGGTAAAATTACAGTAAATGTAAGAGGGAAATCCAGGGGAATTCGACTTTGGTTCGAGTTATCGGGAGTCAACTGTACAGTTAAGCTGAAAGCTTGTATAAGATTAAGTGAAGTTGTATGCGTATCTAAATTCAGTGCTATACCTGGTTAAGGCTAGACACTCATTATCATCGATAACTGTCCAACAGGCTATTTAAGGAAATACATTACGTACATAAAAAAGAAATAACTTCTTTTCATTTCTTCTACCCGAAATAGCGCTGTGTAAAGCTGGGTCATATTCACCCACCGGGTTAGAGCCTTGTATTCAGTGTGAAAAGGGGTTTTATCAAGAAACAGAGGGACAGCGTCTCTGCATAAAATGCGGTGTTAACACAACAACTCCAGAGGAGGGATCAAACAGTTCAATGCAATGTGCAGGTAAAAATGCCAATTTGCATTTTATGAACGAATAAAACGCACAGACAAACCTTTTAAATGTACAGACGTCCATTTATAGAGTTAAGTATTCATTAAAACCTGTTATCTGTGAGCCTAGAGAAAAGTATCTGATGTAACATAGGTTTAGACTATCCCAATTGAATTTCAAGAAACCCTATTTTCCAGGCTCTAGTTGTTCAAAAGGTGGATAGTGCTATCCACTGGATAGTGATTTATCCAATTACTTTTCGGTAATACTTATTCATTGGATAGCGATTTATCCGGTGGATAGCGCTATCCAACTTTTGAAAAACCGGGCCCAGACGGCCAAAATATTCATTGAGGACTTGGCCAGACCACAGAACATGGCAAGCTAACGTGTATGGGCCTAAACAATGGCTCGCCGTAAACGCCCATACAGATCTCCTTTTAATATTTTATCTACCATTTGTTGACATAGACAAGAAATTATCAGCTATTTATTTGGAAAGCTAAATTATTATTGACAAGGGCAAGTAGATTCGCCATAAGTACTACATAAAAGTTTGTCTTTTTCCTCCAGTCCCCTGTCCTCCAGGTTCTTTCTCTCCAACTGGCCTGGCTCCTTGTACTTTGTGCAACCGGCGCTCGTTTCAGTCCCACAACGAGAGCCGCATATGCGTTCCATGCCCTGGAACAACTGCAACCGTCCTGCCAGGTTCAAAAAGTTCACAAGATTGCATAGGTGAGTGATACAGAGCACCTATCGACACTAAAATAGCTGTTGCATTGAAGGGCCACCACGCTCGATTAAATATAGCTACTGCAGACGACTGCTGAAAAAATATGATAACAATAAAGTTTGCATGGGCAAGAATACTTATTTTATGTCTCCTTTTTAATCTTCAGAAATTAACGAATGCGATTCCAATCCCTGTCAAGGCAACTCTAACTGCACAGATCTCATTGCCGACTTTCTGTGCTCCTGCCAAGCTGGCTACACTGGTAAACAATGTGAGACCAACATTGACGATTGTGAGAACCAGCCTTGTTTTAATAACGGCACCTGCCATGACCTGGTTAACAATTACACCTGCACATGCAGACAGGGATACCAGGGATCAAATTGTGAAGATGATGTTGATGAGTGCATGACACCCCCTTGTTCCAATAATGCTTCGTGCAGCAATTATCCAGGAGGATATAGCTGTAAATGCAGACCAGGGTTTACTGGAAAGTTGTGCGAAACAGACGTGGACGAATGCGAGTTATCACCGTGTCTAAATGGAGCAACTTGTAGGGATGGAATAAACAACTACACCTGCCTCTGTGCAACAGGTAAGACAAAGTTAGTAATATAATATAACGATGTAGTGTAATATTAACGTGTATTATATCGCAGGCTACCAAGGAAACGATTGCGAAGAGAATATCGATGACTGCGCATCTGACCCTTGTCACAACGAAGGAAAATGTGTGGATGCAGTTGGAACATACCACTGCGTCTGCCTTGCAGGATTTAACGGCACCAGTTGTCAGCATAACATTGACGAATGTGTCAATGTAGACTGTAAGAACAATGCAACATGTACTGACCAGATCAATGGGTTTTATTGCGCATGCCAGAACGGATTCACAGGAAATAAATGCGAGGTGAACATTGACGAATGCGCTTCCAATCCTTGCAGGAACCAAGCAAGGTTTGTATTTATTTACTTTAAAGTTGAATTTTGTTGTTGAAATTGCTTCCAACTAACTTTCCCAAGATTCAAAAGTGTCGTTATCAGTCATGAATATACCATATATCAGATTTTAAGGAAAAACATTTCCTGCTTCCAGTGTTCCAAGAACTCCAAGGAGAAGTATATCTTACTTCAGTACTACATCTGATTTAACGGTCTTCAACGGGTTTTAAGTAATTTCTAATCAGAGGCAGTAAATTAACTAGTAAATTAAGTCAAGAAAGAAAGGAGAGAGGAGAAGAAACGCAGACTTTTCAAAGAACGCTACCAATCTATATAGCTAAGGCGCTGTTACTTCCATCTCCTTAGGTGTGCGGATATGATTGACACTTATCGATGTGAATGCAAAGATGGTTTCGTTGGCCTCCGCTGCGAAAACAACATTGATGAATGCGCCTCAAATCCTTGTTCAAACAATGGTACATGTCACGATGGCATCAATAATTTCACCTGCGCTTGCCCACCGGGTTTCACAGGAAATACCTGTAGTTTAGACATTGACTATTGCTCATCAACGCCGTGCTTGAATAATGCCTCCTGCTTTGATGGACGCACTTCCTTTACATGTCAGTGCCCTGATGGATTCAATGGCGACCAATGTCAGTACAACATCGACGAATGCGAGAATGCAACATGTTTCAATGGAGGAACGTGTATCGACGGAATTTATCAATACACATGCGCCTGCCAAGCGGGATTTACCGGATTCAACTGTGAATTAAATATTGATGACTGCGCGCATAATCCGTGCTTAAACGATGGAACTTGTAGGGACCTGATAAATGACTTTAAATGTGCCTGTAGGAGAGGTTACACAGGAAAGAATTGCAGCGTCGACATTAACGAATGCTTCAGTTCTCCTTGTCAGAACAATGGAACATGCAATGATAAAGTCGACGGTTACACTTGCAGTTGCGTTGATGGCTTCAGTGGAATACACTGCGAAAGAAATATTGACGACTGTTTGGGTCACAGTTGCACAAACGGTTCCATCTGCAGGGATGGGATAAACAGCTACACTTGTGACTGTCGTCCTGGGTTCTGGGGAAGGTTCTGTGAATCTGAAGTAGACGAGTGCGAGTCCTTTCCTTGTAATAATGGTGGAACTTGTAACGATCAGGTACCGAGCAATAACAGTACTTCTTCGTATCAATGCCCTCTATAATACACTGTTTAGTGTTGATAAACGCATATCCCGCATCATTAACCTGCAGATGTAAACGTACACGCCCCAATAAAGTTAAACTATTATGTGATACGGCCAGAAGTTAAGTAGGAATTCAAATGACGTAATGTACATCTGAAGACCAAAACGAAATGTTTAAAGGACTTCTGTATGACTTCGGAAAGTTTGATGGATGACAAGAATTTAAGATCATATCTCTTTAAAGATCTGACATTGTCTTATTAAGAAACCCGGCCTCTCGTCCGGGGGTTGGAAACACACTAGCAAGCGGTTGCTATTCGCGAGAACCTCTAAGCTTTTGTGTTTGTTATAATGCATAACAGAGCCTCTAAGTATAATGGTAACAAAACTGGAATTCTTGTCGGGTTTCGCTTAGTACAACAACAACACCATCAAATATATTAGCAGTCCCATTTACAGAGGTGGTATTGCTATGACAATCACATAAATGAAACTAATGTATAGTTAAAAGGACAAAATGCACAGATGTGAAACTTATTGTTTGGCCTGTATAATTTATAGTAACGGTATGAATACGTATTTTGCTTATATATTTCTTTATTTCTCCTCAGGTAAACGCGTTTAACTGCGCTTGCCAGACAGGCTTTGCTGGAAACCAGTGCGAAATAAACATCGATGACTGCAAATCAACGCCGTGTTTAAACAACGCTACTTGCGTAGACCTGATAGCTAACTACACATGTTCCTGTCGAAGTGGTTTTACTGGGCTCCATTGCGAGAGTCGTATTGATTACTGTGGGGACGCAAACTGCACTCAGAATGGAGTTTGTGTTAATCTATTCACAGGTAAAAGTCACAGTAAAAACTGGATTCTATGCAATCGTTCATATCGTCTTGCCACCTCGATTCCAGTCTTCTATATACAGACTTACTTCTATTCACACTATTTCGAGCGCGCCAATGGGCCCTTAGCAGCTCGATCGCTCTGATGGGCACTTGATAGCGTAACAGTCACACGGTACAAAAACACAATGCACGAGAGATAAAGGCGCAGTGGAATCCACTTGAAAGAAAGGAAAGTCTCATTTTAAATGATGTAACCGTGTTTTTTTTTTCTTGCCCCATTGCGTCCCATAAGTAGTATACTATGTTGGAAATTAACCCCCTTTGGTGTCTAGCAAGGTCTAGCTAGGTCTAGTCTATGACGTCACCGATTGTTATAACCTGGGGAAAAAGTGGATTCCCTTTATTAATATGTATAAGTGTCTTCCTGCATACTAATTTGGATTTCCTGCATACTAATTACGTGTCTTCCTCCATATATAATGAAGTGGATAGGTTTACTAATGAGCGCTTCTCTACTACAATAGGAACAATAGGCTTGCCTAGACTTGCCCGGTAAGTAACTTAATTAAAAGGAAAATAAGAGCGATCACCTAGCAACGCGAGAAACAGCTTCCTATATCTTATTTAGCGCTAAAACTCGGATATATATAAACAAGACATACACAAAGGGGAGCTGAAAACGCTTTATTTCAAGTTTGTCTGACTATTACAGAACTGTTTTCTCCTTTCTATCTCGAGGAAACGAAAACCTATTGAAGTCTCAACGTTTCACGCGTCGTTAGTTAGGTAATTATGCGAGTTCACAAGCCTAAAGTTGAATACAAATTAGCTCTACAGGAAAAACCTCAAGGGACCATATTGACGTATTATTATAAAACAAATAACTTAACAAGGATCAATTGATTAAACACGCGACTAATAATTGCTAGCAATAAAATCAGACACGAGATACCGTTTAAAACAAAAAGAGTCAAATATACAGCGATTTGAAAGAAATCTATTAAAATAATTAAAGAAAGCAAGCTATCGTTTTTTTACCACGTTTCCCTCCACAATTTTATTATTTTCGTTCCTCAATTCCTTCCTCCTCCTCCTCCTCATTTTTATTGTTTTCCCTCCTCCTCCTCCTCCTCCTCCTCAATTTTATTGTTTTCCCTCCTCCTCCTCCTCCTCAATTTTATTGTTTTCCCTCCTCCTCCTCCTCCTCCTCCTCATTTTTGTTTTCCCTCCTCCTCCTCCTCCTCCTCCTCCTTATTTTTATTGTTTTCCCTCCTCCTCCTCATTTTTGTTTTCCCTCCTCCTCCTCCTCCTCCTCCTCCTCCTCCTTATTTTTATTGTTTTCCCTCCTCCTCCTCCTCCACTTCCTCATTTCTATTGGTTTCCCTCGAAAAGGCCAAAATCAGACCATCACATTTGAGTTTGGCCTTATAAGCCTGATTTTGGCCTTTTGGCCTTTTCGAGGGAAACCAATAGAAATGAGGAGGTGGAGGAGGAGGAGGAGGGAAAACAATAAAAATAAGGAGGAGGAGGGAAAACAAAAATGAGGAGGAGGAGCGAAAACAATAAAACGAGGAGGAGGAGGAGGGAAAACAATAAAAATGAGGAGGAGGAGGGAAAACAATAAAATTGAGGAGGAGGAGGAGGGAAAATAATAAAAATGAGGAGGAGGAGGAGGAAGGAATTGAGGAACGAAAATAATAAAATTGTGGAGGGAAACGTGGTAAAAAAAAGATAGCTTGCTTTCTTTAATTATTTTAATAGATTTCTTTCAAATCGCTGTGTATTTGACTCTTTTTGTTTTAAACGGTATCTCGTGTCTGATTTTATTGCTAGCAATTATTAGTCGCGTGTTTAATCAATTGATCCTTGTTAAGTTATTTGTTTTATAATAATACGTCAATATGGTCCCTTGAGGTTTTTCCTGTAGAGCTAATTTGTATTCAACTTTAGGCTTGTGAACTCGCATAATTACCTAACTAACGACGCGTGAAACGTTGAGACTTCAATAGGTTTTCGTTTCCTCGAGATAGAAAGGAGAAAACAGTTCTGTAATAGTCAGACAAACTTGAAATAAAGCGTTTTCAGCTCCCCTTTGTGTATGTCTTGTTTATATATATCCGAGTTTTAGCGCTAAATAAGATATAGGAAGCTGTTTCTCGCGTTGCTAGGTGATCGCTCTTATTTTCCTTTTAATTAAGTTACTTACCGGGCAAGTCTAGGCAAGCCTATTGTTCCTATTGTAGTAGAGAAGCGCTCATTAGTAAACCTATCCACTTCATTATATATGGAGGAAGACACTTAATTAGTATGCAGGAAATCCAAATTAGTATGCAGGAAGACACTTATACATATTAATAAAGGGAATCCACTTTTTCCCCAGGTTATAACAATCGGTGACGTCATAGACTAGACCTAGCTAGACCTTGCTAGACACCAAAGGGGGTTAATTTCCAACATAGTATACTACTCCCATACTCTCCGGCAAGGCGTTTTTGTCTCACGCGACTGTTAAGCTGCTGAAGGGACCGTCTCGAGGTTCGTTGGAGGCGTTTCCATGTAATGGCCTTGATCACATGAACACATTTTGAGACGACTCGTGTGATCGACACGACTAGGACGATTACATGGAAACCAGCCTCAACAGAACTTGACGAACTGCCCGGCTGCTAAGATTTAAACCTCTGCGCCAAAAAAAGGATAATTTCAGTAACCCTTTGGCGAAGGCATTTTAGTAGCGAAACAATTTCACTTTTTTACCACATTTTTTTTCACCGGGTTTTCCGCCAATTTGCATCGAATTGGCGTAACATGAGATATGGCGACACTGAAGGTATAACTTACCGCTAACTAGATGTAAATAAGTTTCATGTTGTTTCTGGCGCATGTGCATAAGCCACAACTGTGAAAGTACGACAAGAGTCGGAACTTTGTAAACTGGTGTGTAATTGTCTTGCTTATTCCTTTACGGAGTCATCGTCATAAACAGTAACACACTTAAGTTGTTGTTTTTTTTTTCGTTCTTACATACAGGCTTTAACTGTAAATGCAGCGGTGGTTACTTCGGCGAGTACTGCGAGTTTGAAATTGACGAATGTTCAGCAAAACCCTGTTTCAACAATGCAACATGCGATGATGCCATCGACAATTTCACTTGTTCTTGCTCAGCGGGGTTTACGGGGAGGTACTGTGAGCAGAACATAGACGATTGTGTTAATAACTCCTGTCAAAACAACGCCACGTGCGTTGACCACACATTGGGTTACTCTTGTCTGTGTGCTGAAGATTACAATGGAACATTTTGTGAAACGGAGATCAACAAATGTGACACCTCTCCGTGTCAAAACAATGGGACATGCATAGTTGAAAGGCCTGGGTACATATGCAGGTGCCCGGATCAGTTTGCAGGAGTAAACTGCGAAAACCTTACTGACCCCTGCTTATCGTTACCATGTCAGAATGGCGCAACGTGTCACGCTGACAACGCCACGGGAAGCGTCTCTTGTTTATGTAAAACAGGTTTTACAGGAAGCACCTGTGATGTGAACATTGATGACTGTGCATCGGAGCCCTGCATGGCCAACTCCTTTTGCCTTGATTTGGTAAACGGATATGAATGCAAGTGTTACCCATCTCACACAGGAGATCACTGCGACATATGTAAGTAACGATATCCTAATAGGTCATTTCCGACCAAAAGCCTCTGTTTCAAAGCGAGGTTTAGTGCCACGCTAGTGATATGGAAATGAGTTTTCATTCCCAGCAAATAAAACTCACTTTCACAACAAATGTTTTGCACTTAGTCTCAACTCTCTATTTCAACTGCTTTGAAAGTGAGAGTTTTAAGAACTCGGAAATGGTCTATTCCTCAACTTAATCGAGGTGTTGAAATAATTTATGTAATGCAACGTCATACAGACCATGTCGATGTGAGCCGTGTACTGATTATAGAAGATCAACAAAATTATGCCTATTACGGGTAGTAAAACAGTTATCGCTTAACTTTCATGCACCGCTATCTCTGTGATTCTGTGGTGATAAAAAGGCCGGCTGGTCAATAGTTTTAAATTTACAGAATATTTTTAATTCAAAGATGGTTAACACCTGTGATAACTCCACTTCGATGAATCGCATAAACATGTTCGTTGATTCTGTCGTCATCGAAAAGATCCATTCCAAGCTATAAATCGTCGGTTTTACTTTTACAGAATGTAATAACGCGACCTTTCAAAGAAATTAATTTATAAAACTAAACCTTTTACATTCCTTTTTCAGTCCTTGGCAGCAATTTTGATTTGATTTTCAAGCGCCATAGTACAAGCGACATGGTTCTTTTATCAGACGGTAAAATCATCCCTACAATGAGGTTTTTTACCATCGCCCTGTTTGTCCGAGCAGACTCCGAGTACAGCTCAGGAATACTCTTCAGCTACAGTGTGCCTGGTGTACCACAAGACGTGATAATTCTCTCATTCACTGAGTCACAGGTTAAGCTGACGATTAAAACTGAAGTTGTGGCAGCTGATTTCAAATTACCAGACAATCGTTGGAACTATGTGGGCGTAGTTTGGGATGGAACGACAGGAGATGTGTCCGTTTACATTAATGGCCCTGAAAAAAAAAAAAGGCCAGGAACATTCTCAAAGGTAAGATTTTATTGCCTCCTAAACCGCAACTGTCATCGGCACACAAGTTTGAAAAATCTGAAATCTTTTCACCTCATCAATCAATTGCAGCCAAACTTTACCACAAAAGACCAATCAGATATAATAATTTAGTATTCTGAACAAAACCATGGCATTCAATTTAGGAGCTAATCACTAAATCGATAACATGGACTGTAATGCAAATGGTCCATGATAACTTTGAAATCAACGATCAAAATTGAATGCACTTTCACGAGTTCAATTTTATTGTAAAACTCCAGGTGACACTATCACTGGAGGGGGATGGATGGTTCTTGGGCAGGAGTTCCTCGCTGAAACACAAACATCTTCGTTATCGACTGCTTTTGTTGGTACATTACATCAAGTCAGCTTTTGGGACGTGCCTGCTACTGCTGATGACATGTGGAATGCAGCACACAACTGTACTTGGCCTATCGCTGGAAGTGTGCGAGCCTGGACCAGTTTTCTTCAAGGAATCAAAGGCAAAGTGGAAAAGCGATTCATCACGAAATGTCAAGGTAATGAGAGTCAGTAACAGGAAGCGCTGCAGACGTTAGTGCCAGCTGCGAGTAAATAAGATTAGGAGAATCCACGTCCTGTGAGGAAAAGGCTACACACCAATAAACACTTAATGACTGGTCCAAAGGGAAACAGTTAATTTTGTTTCCCGACAATCTCAATGTTTCCCGAGGCAGAACCGAGAGAAACATTGAGATGCGAGTTTCATTGTTAGATTTCATGTGACCTCGAAGTAACCAATGAAAGGGCGCGCTGTTGGGTAAGAAATTTCCAGCTATATAACAATACCGTTTTATGACTCCTGGGCTCAAACGTTTCACAGCAATATCGTTTTGAGGCAGACAGATATTTAAGTGTCCCGTATAACGATTGTTTGACTCGTTTTTCGCTTGACGGGTCGAATTTAGTGGACAGTCATTTTTACCCACAGCTTCATTTTAGCCAACAGAGTTAATATTTTGAAACTTTCAGCCTTGGCCATGTGCACCACAAACTGTTCTCACTTCCTGAACTGCGAGTCTCGCCAGGGAATGTACCACTGTAACTGCGTCCCTGGATTCTCTGGACCACATTGCAACATTAACATAGATGAGTGCAAGTCTAGTCCTTGTGTCAATGGAAAGTGTATAGATGGTGTAAATCAGTATGAGTGTGTGTGCAACAAAGGCCACTGGGGAACAAACTGTGAAAAGAAGGTCAACGAAGAAAGAGGTCAGTGAAAAAAGAAAAGAGAACTTAAAGGCACATTATCATTTTTTTTCAGAGTTCCAAAGATGGGCTAGTATAATTACTTACCGCCGTTTCCCATTAGCCAAAATGGAGGTTTCTTTAAGACACGTTTGTAGTACGAAGAAAAGTTGATGCTATTTTCACTAACTGCCGGCGTTTGCTGCAAGATAAGTAGTATTTAAGCTTCTCTAGAGGAATGTGTTTGTTTACTTCTTATCGCCTCCACAGAATGCCCAAGCCTTCAACAGCCTACAAATGGCAAGATATCATGCAAAAAACGTTCCGGGAAAGAGCTATGTACTATAACATGCAACGACGGTTACTCATTCAGATCTGAATAAGTAGTATTTAAGCTTCTCTAGAGGAATGTGTTTGTTTACTTCTTATCGCCTCCACAGAATGCCCAAGCCTTCAACAGCCTACAAATGGCAAGATATCATGCAAAAAACGTTCCGGGAAAGAGCTATGTACTATAACATGCATCGACGGTTACTCATTCAGATCTGAGGCAATAACAACATTCGGCTGTGGTCCTGACACTGACTGGAAATGGAATGGAGAGGTGGACATTGACGTTCCAACCTGCACAAGTATGTACATTTGTGTCAGTTGATCTTGTCTCTCTATGTGGAAGTGATATGTTTTGGCACAGAAAATCCTTCCGGAGGAAAAACTACGTGTTGTAACATTTTTGCGGGCTTTGAGGTTTTTGCAAAGCATGCGAACGAATTATGTGAGAGTTTGCCTTTGGGTCGAGGGTCGAGGGTAACTAGTCGAGGGTCGAGGGTAAATGGTCGAGGGTCGAAAAATCCTCCACAATTATTTTTGAACGTCGTCAAATCAAAATTTCGTGTTTACTCGAGTTTCCGGTGCCTGTTTTATTTTTACATTAACACCTAGGGGCACGTGTATCATTTGTCGTTGTAACACTCGAGTAAATAATATTGAATATTGATAGCACACACCCAATGGTTTTGTTGTCTAATATTTCACTCGCTTATGACTAATCGAGGGTCGAAAAAAAATCTCCACAATTATTTCTGAACGTCGTCAAATCAAATTTTCAAGTAGGCTCGCGTTTACTCGAGTTTCCGGTGCCTGTTTTATTTGTGTTGTGTTGTTTATAACTTTTGCACTCCCACGGTGATGAAGGTGATATTACATTAACATCTAGTGGCACGTGCATCATGTATCGTTGTAACACTCGAGTAAATAATATTGAACATTGAAAGCAGAGACCCAATGGTTTTCTTGTCTAACGTTTCACTCGCTTATGAAAAGGCTGCTAATCTGGTAACTTTCACTGTTTGTCTTTAATATTTCCCACGTCCACTAGTTTTGTCCTATGTGAGACTTGGGTCAGCGCTTGAGCTTGGTTTACGAGTGTCGGGAAAGAAATATGCGATGCTTAACTTGATTATTCTGTGATTAAATATTAATTAGAAATTGACATTTGTAGCGCAAAGAAGTTAGATTTCGTGACATTAGATTTCACAATAATGTAGACAAAGTCCGAGTATATTTACGATATAAAATGATGTAACTGCATGCATTTTGTTAGGCTAAATAAGGTGAAAGAACGTGCGATTTTGTAATAGACACTTAATTTAGATACATTACAATGGGAACTTGTACTGTACATGTGATTAATGTAAAAATACTGCCTTACGCAAGGATAGTAGAAAAACCACTGTATACTTAGAATGTTTTAGTTGATCGATTCGTTGATCGTTGATCGTAGTCTTACGAACGTTGAGTATGTGAGAATTGTACATCGCAGTAGATTGTTGAATTTGCATTAAATCGTGTTATTACATCGAAAGATACAGTCCTCTTGATTTGTTTGAACCAGCGGAGCGGGATTAAAAGAATTCCGCAACAACGAGATTGGCGGTTGTATTCTTTTTGGCAGAATCGATATAACCCAGAAGAGATGTATACCAAACGAACAGCGGAGAAACAAAAAAAAAGACGCGCTTTAGGGTGCTAAAAAAACAGACGCGTTGTATGGCGTTGTTCTTTATTTGATAGAGTCGAACATCCGGTTGCGACCACCTACTGTAAGCGACCGCCTCTGCTCAGCTACCAGTATTCCAAAATACGAAAAGTTTCCACGACAAATCACTATATTTGAAACCTCTTGTATGCAACTACCTCTCTTAAATGATTCCGACCGCTTTTTAGAGCTAAAAGTTTGAAATTTGCTTCTACTTTTTAACCAACCGTAAGTGATCACTTGACAGATAAGAGAAAGGAAATTGGATAATAAGGTGTTGTAGCATTATCACATTCTTAGGCAGTAATTTCTCAAAGGGAAGTACCGGATGTTTTCTCGAAATTGACTCTTTCTCAAATCTAAAACTTTAAAGAAAAAATGCACATGCATTGTACTCTATCTTAAATCGAATCTTTTAAAAATGTCTTATAGTTAAAGAAAATTAGAGCTGAGATCTTGCTTCAAAGTTCTCAGTCAACAGTTTAATGGTATTATGGTATTTCAGTATTGAACTTCCTGTCACGCTTCTTTCCTTTGGTTGCTTTATTTGGGAATTTTAGGTTTTAAATTGAAAAAAAATTCAGAAATAATTGTGGACGATTTTTCGACCCTCGACCATTTACCCTCGACCCTCGACTAGTTACCCTCGACCCTCGACCCTCGACCAAAAGGCAAACTCATTATGTGATGTGGCCATTAACCATGCTCAAACAGAGCTCTTTTTCTGGGGTTCAGGAGTCTTAGTATAGCCAAGTGGAACGAGGAGTAACAGGAGGAGGAGTAGTTGCAGCTTCACTAGAAAATACTCGGCCAATCCTTGAGCAAAATATTTACACTGTCACCCTGGTAACTTTATAGTGCGAATACTGTGACCGGGGCCACTTAGACAAAGTTCACCAATAACCTTAACCCTAAAACAGAATCGTTTGAAAAAAAGATAGACACCGACTCCGGCCCTGGCCCCGGCCACGACCTCGACTCCGCGTTTAACTGACAACCCACTTTCTTCGCTACTATCGCCGCAATTTTCAATAACATCACGACCTCAAGTCAAAAATTTAACTAACGTTTACGTTTTTCGCCTCCGTCAACACTCTAACGGACCTCTCCGGAAACACGGGCTTTCTTCAGTGGGTTCAAAAGGTCACGTCTGTAGGTTGTAATTGGTTGATTTCTATCTTTGTTGTTTACTTCGTTTCGTGGTAATTATGATTGACAACTAACTTTCTCGGAATGTATTGTTATTCTCCTGTAAATCCGATTGGTCAACTTTGTCTAGGTGGCCCCAGTTATAGTAGTCGCATTGTAAGATGCAATTCCCTGTGGTAATATTTTTCCACGAAATAGACGAATATCTGTGAATGAAATCTCGTTGCCGTTTACCAGTGCACAGCGCTCCGAGGTGTAATAACAGCTTTCACGCAGTGATGAACCTATCTTTCTTACCAACAATGGTATTTTCCAGTTTACCAAGTCATTCATTAAAATGATTTTTCTTGTCAGGCAAGGCAAAGCCAAAGAACATCGAGCATCACCTTTCAATGAAGTTTACTGGAATTGGGTGTCAGATCAGTCGAGGTCTTGGCGATATTCATTCAGCTTTGGAGCGAGAAGTGGCCGACACTCTTTCAACAATACAAGGATGTCTCGACTCTAACGCCTGCAAGCTGACGAGAATCTCAGTTCCCGAATGTGGTTGGACAGCTCTTCAAAAGACAAGAAGAGCAGTCGTCGGCGCAATGGAAGTATTATTTTCGTTGTTAGTCAGACCGGTCGAGTCAGCTTCGATGACGGATGATGTTGACGAGAAAAGTGAAGCTGTGCTATTTCAGATGCAATACGCCATCTCCACTGGGCAGTTTAGGATTAGCTTACATGGTGTCAACAGCACCGCAGACAGGTCTTCTTTTAAACACCTCTCGTCTGACATCACATGTAATCCAGGGTTTGTTAAGAGCAGTGACAAGACCGGATGTGGTAAGCAGCAAATAATAAACGCCAGTATATATTAGTATCAGTATAGGCACCTGCACCACTCACGAAACTAAACTCTTGTTAAGTCCGTCTACAAAACAGGCCCGAAATCCTTGTTCTGAGCCCCCACCTGTGTAACAGGATTTGAGTACAAGTAGCCTGCGAACGGCAGACGTTTCTCCTCGCGAAACGTCCCTCAGCGGCGATGAGCAAGGAGAAACGTCTGCCTTTTGCAGGATAGAGTACGCGCCATGATTGGTCTTTTAGAAAAGGCATATTTGCCAATCAGGATAAAAGGAAATTCGGAACGTACTTCCAGTAATTCGTTGATTCCCTTGCCGAGGGCCCAGAACAAGATGACGTTACTAACCGAGGTTAAATTAAGTCTGCGACGCAGGCTAATATCAGTATGCATAAAACCCGTGTTACCTTTTGTTCTTCAATAGTCGCCTGTCCTGCGGGAACGTTCTTCCACCAAGAGTCTTCCAATTGTACAGCCTGCTCCAAAGGCACGTATCAAGATAAAGAAGGACAGAGTAGCTGCAAACCTTGCAGCGATGAAAAAACAACGGGCAAAAAAGGAGCTGAATCAGCAAACGACTGTGAGACAAGTAAGAATAGATAGATAAGATAAAGATAAGATAGATAATAATTTATCTTCTCCCCTTGTGCGGTTTTTCAGGGATGATGAAACAAAAAATTTAAATGGAACATAACATGGATAAGAATCCCAACTGGTAGGAGGCGAACCAGTTGGCTATTTTACAAGCGCGGCCAGGGCGGGACTTTAATTGGGGGCCTCCGAATCACAGTCCCGCGATCCAGCCGCTCGGCCACGCTGCCTGAACAACGCATAGCTGAGGCATTCAATGCGTCAAAGTTTCTTCCACTGACTTTGGACAAAATGCAAATGTAGTTGAACATATATGTTTTCTTATCATGAAAGTAAGACTCTAGTGAAAAACTAGCTTAAGGATGCGTCTGTTTTCTTTAGTTCCAACAAAAACAGAGGATGGAACGAGTCTGATAAAAATCATCATACCAGTGGTTCTGGTATTTGTCGTTAGCATCGTCGTCATAGTGCTCTACTGCAGGTATGTGGAAATCTCCTACCCCAATATCATGTCGACAAGAGATCTGGGTACTAGTCAAGATTGGGTACGTGGTGATAGCACAGGTGATAGAACCGAGTGGCGTAGCTTACACACTCAGTCACTTATCCTACCAAACCTAGCCTGGAACTTTGTCATTTGGAGCAATATGTAGTATTATCTATTCGCATTGTAGAGTGCTTAATAGGCTTTTTACAAAAAATGAAATAAAGAACTAATAGGCCATTTTACAAGAATAAGTCTGCAATCTTTCCTGCTTTGTTTCTTACTCGATCCTTGAGCACATCTCCTCTTGCTGCCTTTACTGCATGCGCGAGGGTATTCTCCATCAAAATGAACAGGTACATGAAGTAACTCTTTTGGCAGGGCCTAAACTAACCCCAACGCAAACATTATTAGGGATCATCTGGAATATCTCATCCCCAAAGAACAACAGCCTAGCCCATACAGTCTTGTTGTTGTTGTTTTTTGGACGCTACGCAAGTTAAACAAATATATACTTTGTTTGTTGCCTTATTTGTATCCCAGGTGTTGCCGTCCTCGATGCCAGGACCCACCAGTCAAGAACAATAAAGTACACACATACTGTCAGCGCAATCTCGCATTTGAGCCAGGGACATGAAGTACTAACAAAGAAGAGTTCCTGTACAGTGAAATACCAAGCCAACCATCCAAAACAAAAATGAGGAGGAGGAGGAAAACAATAAAACGAGGAGGAGGAGGAGGGGGAAAACAATAAAAATGAGGAGGAGGAGGAGGAAGGAATTGAGGAACGAAAATAATAAAATTGTGGAGGGAAACGTGGTAAAAAAAAGATAGCTTGCTTTCTTTAATTATTTTAATAGATTTCTTTCAAATCGCTGTGTATTTGACTCTTTTTGTTTTAAACGGTATCTCGTGTCTGATTTTATTGCTAGCAATTATTAGTCGCGTGTTTAATCAATTGATCCTTGTTAAGTTATTTGTTTTATAATAATACGTCAATATGGTCCCTTGAGGTTTTTCCTGTAGAGCTAATTTGTATTCAACTTTAGGCTTGTGAACTCGCATAATTACCTAACTAACGACGCGTGAAACGTTGAGACTTCAATAGGTTTTCGTTTCCTCGAGATAGAAAGGAGAAAACAGTTCTGTAATAGTCAGACAAACTTGAAATAAAGCGTTTTCAGCTCCCCTTTGTGTATGTCTTGTTTATATATATCCGAGTTTTAGCGCTAAATAAGATATAGGAAGCTGTTTCTCGCGTTGCTAGGTGATCGCTCTTATTTTCCTTTTAATTAAGTTACTTACCGGGCAAGTCTAGGCAAGCCTATTGTTCCTATTGTAGTAGAGAAGCGCTCATTAGTAAACCTATCCACTTCATTATATATGGAGGAAGACACTTAATTAGTATGCAGGAAATCCAAATTAGTATGCAGGAAGACACTTATACATATTAATAAAGGGAATCCACTTTTTCCCCAGGTTATAACAATCGGTGACGTCATAGACTAGACCTAGCTAGACCTTGCTAGACACCAAAGGGGGTTAATTTCCAACATAGTATACTACTCCCATACTCTCCGGCAAGGCGTTTTTGTCTCACGCGACTGTTAAGCTGCTGAAGGGACCGTCTCGAGGTTCGTTGGAGGCGTTTCCATGTAATGGCCTTGATCACATGAACACATTTTGAGACGACTCGTGTGATCGACACGACTAGGACGATTACATGGAAACCAGCCTCAACAGAACTTGACGAACTGCCCGGCTGCTAAGATTTAAACCTCTGCGCCAAAAAAAGGATAATTTCAGTAACCCTTTGGCGAAGGCATTTTAGTAGCGAAACAATTTCACTTTTTTACCACATTTTTTTTTTTCACCGGGTTTTCCGCCAATTTGCATCGAATTGGCGTAACATGAGATATGGCGACACTGAAGGTATAACTTACCGCTAACTAGATGTAAATAAGTTTCATGTTGTTTCTGGCGCATGTGCATAAGCCACAACTGTGAAAGTACGACAAGAGTCGGAACTTTGTAAACTGGTGTGTAATTGTCTTGCTTATTCCTTTACGGAGTCATCGTCATAAACAGTAACACACTTAAGTTGTTGTTTTTTTTTTCGTTCTTACATACAGGCTTTAACTGTAAATGCAGCGGTGGTTACTTCGGCGAGTACTGCGAGTTTGAAATTGACGAATGTTCAGCAAAACCCTGTTTCAACAATGCAACATGCGATGATGCCATCGACAATTTCACTTGTTCTTGCTCAGCGGGGTTTACGGGGAGGTACTGTGAGCAGAACATAGACGATTGTGTTAATAACTCCTGTCAAAACAACGCCACGTGCGTTGACCACACATTGGGTTACTCTTGTCTGTGTGCTGAAGATTACAATGGAACATTTTGTGAAACGGAGATCAACAAATGTGACACCTCTCCGTGTCAAAACAATGGGACATGCATAGTTGAAAGGCCTGGGTACATATGCAGGTGCCCGGATCAGTTTGCAGGAGTAAACTGCGAAAACCTTACTGACCCCTGCTTATCGTTACCATGTCAGAATGGCGCAACGTGTCACGCTGACAACGCCACGGGAAGCGTCTCTTGTTTATGTAAAACAGGTTTTACAGGAAGCACCTGTGATGTGAACATTGATGACTGTGCATCGGAGCCCTGCATGGCCAACTCCTTTTGCCTTGATTTGGTAAACGGATATGAATGCAAGTGTTACCCATCTTACACAGGAGATCACTGTGACATATGTAAGTAACGATATCCTAATAGGTCATTTCCGACCAAAAGCCTCTGTTTCAAAGCGAGGTTTAGTGCCACGCTAGTGATATGGAAATGAGTTTTCATTCCCAGCAAATAAAACTCACTTTCACAACAAATGTTTTGCACTTAGTCTCAACTCTCTATTTCAACTGCTTTGAAAGTGAGAGTTTTAAGAACTCGGAAATGGTCTATTCCTCAACTTAATCGAGGTGTTGAAATAATTTATGTAATGCAACGTCATACAGACCATGTCGATGTGAGCCGTGTACTGATTATAGAAGATCAACAAAATTATGCCTATTACGGGTAGTAAAACAGTTATCGCTTAACTTTCATGCACCGCTATCTCTGTGATTCTGTGGTGATAAAAAGGCCGGCTGGTCAATAGTTTTAAATTTACAGAATATTTTTAATTCAAAGATGGTTAACACCTGCGATAACTCCACTTCGATGAATCGCATAAACATGTTCGTTGATTCTGTCGTCATCGAAAAGATCCATTCAAGCTATAAATCGTCGGTTTTACTTTTTTACAGAATGTAATAACGCGACCTTTCAAAGAAATTAATTTATAAAACTAAACCTTTTACATTCCTTTTTCAGTCCTTGGCAGCAATTTTGATTTGATTTTCAAGCGCCATAGTACAAGCGACATGGTTCTTTTATCAGACGGTAAAATCATCCCTACAATGAGGTTTTTTACCATCGCCCTGTTTGTCCGAGCAGACTCCGAGTACAGCTCAGGAATACTCTTCAGCTACAGTGTGCCTGGTGTACCACAAGACGTGATAATTCTCTCATTCACTGAGTCACAGGTTAAGCTGACGATTAAAACTGAAGTTGTGGCAGCTGATTTCAAATTACCAGACAATCGTTGGAACTATGTGGGCGTAGTTTGGGATGGAACGACAGGAGATGTGTCCGTTTACATTAATGGCCCTGAAAAAAAAAAAAAAGGCCAGGAACATTCTCAAAGGTAAGATTTTATTGCCTCCTAAACCGCAACTGTCATCGGCACACAAGTTTGAAAAATCTGAAATCTTTTCACCTCATCAATCAATTGCAGCCAAACTTTACCACAAAAGACCAATCAGATATAATAATTTAGTATTCTGAACAAAACCATGGCATTCAATTTAGGAGCTAATCACTAAATCGATAACATGGACTGTAATGCAAATGGTCCATGATAACTTTGAAATCAACGATCAAAATTGAATGCACTTTCACGAGTTCAATTTTATTGTAAAACTCCAGGTGACACTATCACTGGAGGGGGATGGATGGTTCTTGGGCAGGAGTTCCTCGCTGAAACACAAACATCTTCGTTATCGACTGCTTTTGTTGGTACATTACATCAAGTCAGCTTTTGGGACGTGCCTGCTACTGCTGATGACATGTGGAATGCAGCACACAACTGTACTTGGCCTATCGCTGGAAGTGTGCGAGCCTGGACCAGTTTTCTTCAAGGAATCAAAGGCAAAGTGGAAAAGCGATTCATCACGAAATGTCAAGGTAATGAGAGTCAGTAACAGGAAGCGCTGCAGACGTTAGTGACAGCTGCAAGTGAATGAGATTAGGAGAATCCACGGTCCGTGAGGAAAAGGCTACACAACAATACACAACAATAAACACTTAGTGACTGTTCCCAAGGGAAACAGTTGATTTTGTTTCCCGACAATCTCAATGTTTCCCGAGGCAGAACCGAGAGAAACATTGAGATGCGAGTTTCATTGTTAGATTTCATGTGACCTCGAAGGAACCAATGAAAGGGCGCGCTGTTGGGTAAGAAATTTCCAGCTATATAACAATACCGTTTTATGACTCCTGGGCTCAAACGTTTCACAGCAATATCGTTTTGAGGCAGACAGATATTTAAGTGTCCCGTTTAACGATTGTTTGACTCGTTTTTCGCTTGACGGGTCGAATTTAGTGGACAGTCATTTTTACCCACAGCTTCATTTTAGCCAACAGAGTTAATATTTTGAAACTTTCAGCCTTGGCCATGTGCACCACAAACTGTTCTCACTTCCTGAACTGCGAGTCTCGCCAGGGAATGTACCACTGTAACTGCGTCCCTGGATTCTCTGGACCACATTGCAACATTAACATAGATGAGTGCAAGTCTAGTCCTTGTGTCAATGGAAAGTGTATAGATGGTGTAAATCAGTATGAGTGTGTGTGCAACAAAGGCCACTGGGGAACAAACTGTGAAAAGAAGGTCAACGAAGAAAGAGGTCAGTGAAAAAAGAAAAGAGAACTTAAAGGCACATTATCATTTTTTTTCAGAGTTCCAAAGATGGGCTAGTATAATTACTTACCGCCGTTTCCCATTAGCCAAAATGGAGGTTTCTTTAAGACACGTTTGTAGTACGAAGAAAAGTTGATGCTATTTTCACTAACTGCCGGCGTTTGCTGCAAGATAAGTAGTATTTAAGCTTCTCTAGAGGAATGTGTTTGTTTACTTCTTATCGCCTCCACAGAATGCCCAAGCCTTCAACAGCCTACAAATGGCAAGATATCATGCAAAAAACGTTCCGGGAAAGAGCTATGTACTATAACATGCAACGACGGTTACTCATTCAGATCTGAGGCAATAACAACATTCGGCTGTGGTCCTGACACTGACTGGAAATGGAATGGAGAGGTGGACATTGACGTTCCAACCTGCACAAGTATGTACATTTGTGTCAGTTGATCTTGTCTCTCTATGTGGAAGTGATATGTTTTGGCACAGAAAATCCTTCCGGAGGAAAAACTACGTGTTGTAACATTTTTGCGGGCTTTGAGGTTTTTGCAAAGCATGCGAACGAATTATGTGAGAGTTTGCCTTTGGGTCGAGGGTCGAGGGTAACTAGTCGAGGGTCGAGAGTAAATGGTCGAGGGTCGAAAAATCCTCCACAATTATTTTTGAACGTCGTCAAATCAAAATTTCGTGTTTACTCGAGTTTCCGGTGCCTGTTTTATTTTTACATTAACACCTAGGGGCACGTGTATCATTTGTCGTTGTAACACTCGAGTAAATAATATTGAATATTGATAGCACACACCCAATGGTTTTGTTGTCTAATATTTCACTCGCTTATGACTAATCGAGGGTCGAAAAATCCTCCACAATTATTTCTGAACGTCGTCAAATCAAATTTTCAAGTAGGCTCGCGTTTACTCGAGTTTCCGGTGCCTGTTTTATTTGTGTTGTGTTGTTTACAACTTTTGCACTCCCACGGTGATGAAGGTGATATTACATTAACATCTAGTGGCACGTGCATCATGTATCGTTGTAACACTCGAGTAAATAATATTGAACATTGAAAGCAGAGACCCAATGGTTTTCTTGTCTAACGTTTCACTCGCTTATGAAAAGGCTGCTAATCTGGTAACTTTCACTGTTTGTCTTTAATATTTCCCACGTCCACTAGTTTTGTCCTATGTGAGACTTGGGTCAGCGCTTGAGCTTGGTTTACGAGTGTCGGGAAAGAAATATGCGATGCTTAACTTGATTATTCTGTGATTAAATATTAATTAGAAATTGACATTTGTAGCGCAAAGAAGTTAGATCTCGTGACATTAGATTTCACAATAATGTAGACAAAGTCCGAGTATATTTACGATATAAAATGATGTAACTGCATGCATTTTGTTAGGCTAAATAAGGTGAAAGAACGTGCGATTTTGTAATAGACACTTAATTTAGATACATTACAATGGGAACTTGTACTGTACATGTGATTAATGTAAAAATACTGCCTTACGCAAGGATAGTAGAAAAACCACTGTATACTTAGAATGTTTTAGTTGATCGATTCGTTGATCGTTGATCGTAGTCTTACGAACGTTGAGTATGTGAGAATTGTACATCGCAGTAGATTGTTGGAATTTGCATTAAATCGTGTTATTACATCGAAAGATACAGTCCTCTTGATTTGTTTGAACCAGCGGAGCGGGATTAAAAGAATTCCGCAACAACGAGATTGGCGGTTGTATTCTTTTTTGGCAGAATCGATATAACCCAGAAGAGATGTATACCAAACGAACAGCGGAGAAACAAAAGTAAAGACGCGCTTTAGGGTGCTAAAAAAAACAGACGCGTTGTATGGCGTTGTTCTTTATTTGATAGAGTCGAACATCCGGTTGCGACCACCTACTGTAAGCGACCGCCTCTGCTCAGCTACCAGTATTCCAAAATACGAAAAGTTTCCACGACAAATCACTATATTTGAAACCTCTTGTATGCAACTACCTCTCTTAAATGATTCCGACCGCTTTTTAGAGCTAAAAGTTTGAAATTTGCTTCTACTTTTTAACCAACCGTAAGTGATCACTTGACAGATAAGAGAAAGGAAATTGGATAATAAGGTGTTGTAGCATTATCACATTCTTAGGCAGTAATTTCTCAAAGGGAAGTACCGGATGTTTTCTCGAAATTGACTCTTTCTCAAATCTAAAACTTTAAAGAAAAAATGCACATGCATTGTACTCTATCTTAAATCGAATCTTTTAAAAATGTCTTATAGTTAAAGAAAATTAGAGCTGAGATCTTGCTTCAAAGTTCTCAGTCAACAGTTTAATGGTATTATGGTATTTCAGTATTGAACTTCCTGTCACGCTTCTTTCCTTTGGTTGCTTTATTTGGGAATTTTAGGTTTTAAATTGAAAAAAATTCAGAAATAATTGTGGACGATTTTTCGACCCTCGACCATTTACCCTCGACCCTCGACTAGTTACCCTCGACCCTCGACCCTCGACCAAAAGGCAAACTCATTATGTGATGTGGCCATTAACCATGCTCAAACAGAGCTCTTTTTCTGGGGTTCAGGAGTCTTAGTATAGCCAAGTGGAACGAGGAGTAACAGGAGGAGGAGTAGTTGCAGCTTCACTAGAAAATACTCGGCCAATCCTTGAGCAAAATATTTACACTGTCACCCTGGTAACTTTATAGTGCGAATACTGTGACCGGGGCCACTTAGACAAAGTTCACCAATAACCTTAACCCTAAAACAGCATCGTTTGAAAAAAAGATAGACACCGACTCCGGCCCTGGCCCCGGCCCCGACCTCCACTCCGCGTTTAACTGACAACCCACTTTCTTCGCTACTATCGCCGCACTTTTCAATAACATCACGACCTCAAGTCAAAAATGTAACTAACGTTTACGTTTTTCGCCTCCGTCAGCACTCTAACGGACCTCTCCGGAAACACGGGCTTTCTTCAGCGGGTTCAAAAGGTCACGTCTGTAGGTTGTAATTGGTTGATTTCTATCTTTGTTGTTTACTTCGTTTCGTGGTAATTATGATTGACAACTAACTTTCTCGGAATGTATTGTTATTCTCCTGTAAATCCGATTGGTCAACTTTGTCTAGGTGGCCCCAGTTATAGTAGTCGCATTGTAAGATGCAATTCCCTGTGGTAATATTTTTCCACGAAATAGACGAATACCTGTGAATGAAATCTCGTTGCCGTTTACCAGTGCACAGCGCTCCGAGGTGTAATAACAGCTTTCACGCAGTGATGAACCTATCTTTCTTACCAACAATGGTATTTTCCAGTTTACCAAGTCATTCATTAAAATGATTTTTCTTGTCAGGCAAGGCAAAGCCAAAGAACATCGAGCATCACCTTTCAATGAAGTTTACTGGAATTGGGTGTCAGATCAGTCGAGGTCTTGGCGATATTCATTCAGCTTTGGAGCGAGAAGTGGCCGACACTCTTTCAA